CGCATAAACTCGACCAGTACCTTGTCGAGTTCCATGATCTGAATCTTGGGTGACATGTGTAAAATATTGCTCCTCAGTCCATGCACCATCCTCAAGTTGTGTAGACGAAACCAACAACTGCCCGACATCACCGCCATCATCCGTTGAGGCACTGCTGTCCGTGTTGCTGTCATGTCTCTAGGCCGAGCGAGTTGCTGAATATGATTGTGAAGGTGTCTCATCGCCCGACTCGATTCTTTCCAATGATGCAACTGCCTTCCCCTTTGCCTTTGCACGCTAGGCGGACGACTATGACCGTTGGGTGTCTGTAGTTCCTCGAGCAGTTTGGCTCAATGTTGTTTAACTTCTGCCACGTTGTGATCGAGGACGACTGTGCCATGTTGTTTGACTCAATTTGACTGTTGGAGCACTATAGCACTGTTACAGTGCGGTAACGATCGATTTCGATCGTTACCGAGTAGCAACAGTCGAAATCAACCATTACCGAGTTGTGCCAGGCGGTAACAGTCGAAATTTCGACCATTACCGCCCGATATTACCCTGTATCGTCCGATACGGGGCGCTTTTAAACGTTTCGCCCGGTAACGGGCGGTCCGCGTATTGGTATACCGTCGGACCGGTACGTACCGCCCGAACCGGGCAGTACCATTTGAAATTGCATACCTTGAGTTAAACCTTGATTACTTTTTGTAATACAGCAGCAGAAACTACTAAGCATCTCTTCTGTCAATGTGCTTACACAAACTTGAATGGAGATGCACTATATCATGGCCTTACTGAAATGCCACCAGTCTCCATATGCCTTCTCTTCCGAAGCAATGGTCTGCTCACATAAATGAGCAGCAGAAGAGACAGATGACACAACAATATGTGATGGGAACACAAGATAATGGGAAAGAACTAGAAAATAGGATCTCCAAGGTGAGTCACAACCCAAAACTTATTACATCTCCCAGAAGCTTTTCCTTTGTTTTTCATCTTTTTCTGATACAATCCTGAACCTTCTTTTGTCTGTTTTTATTTTGTATTCCTAAATAGAGCTTTTCATAAATCATGAATGACTGAAGTGTCCAATCCTTTTTTTCCAGAAAAAGTTGGAAGTTTTATTTCCACCCTAATAAAGTTACAAATACCAAAGTTTGCAATACCACATCATTACAGTTCAGTACATGTGATGTTTATCGGTCTGACAAGCAACTGATACATAGAGAATAGTAAACCGGGCCATACATCTAGTACTGCACCTGTACCTAGCGGCACAGGGCTTGTACTGTCAAATACACTTTAAGACGGATGGTACCAATTGGTACAGGACCAGTACCACCCGGCAAAATGTGGTACAGGCTCTTACCAGATAGTCTCTTTTTTTCAGTTTTCTTAGACTTTTTTACAAAACTTGGCATGCACTAATACCAACACTCGGTGTGAGTCCTAACTGATACAGTATCAGAACACAAAATTGTGTAACTTGACAAATACCACAAATAGCCCTTAGATCATTGGAATTGCTCATGCACACCCTCTTAGAATTCATAGGACATTATTCAATGCATGAAATAATATCATACACATATTAATGTGATAGCATTTAGCTTAGAGGTGTCTTTAGCTCATTCTGTGTGCAGTGCCACTTGCCTCCAATACCCATCTGCTCAACTTAGAGGTATGTTTAGCTAATCACTTTGATGACCCAACCCAGCTATGAAACACAATATTGTAGCTTCTAGCTAGCATGGATATGAAACACAAAAGTTAACCTTAGTATACATAATAATAACTGCTGATAATTTGGCTTGAGAATTTTGGCTGCATTGGCATCCAAGTATGAGTTATTGTGCTTATAGGTCACCTAAGTCATGATGCTTTAGCTTTCTTCAAAATTATTCAATCATCATTTTTTTCTAAATGATTTATAAATCGATGGAAGTCACAGCAAAATATGTCATAAACCATGCTAGTTATTGCTTTTAAAACATGTCATGAAAAGATTTGTCTTATCAACTTCTGCACTATGTCTATAACTTTTTGGAATGATATGATCCCACACTGTCTAGTTAACATATGCCCCTGTATTGGTTGGCACAAACTAAAATTTGATCTAACCATACTTTTTGCACCAGCCCCCATTTCAGTGGTCCAGTCCGGTCTATTAAAAAAGAAAAAAAAAACTTAAAACCAGGGATCCCCTTCAGATACGCCTTACTATAATTGCTCAACCCTATGCTCTTTTAAAGCAGACCAAGGCCATGTAAAGATTTGTTCCTCCCTTAAACCTTATGGCTTACACAGTACTAAACATCTTCATCATATGGAAGGCAAAGTGCATGTGTAAAGTCGTACATCTCATAGCATATTTGTCATTCTCATGTGCTTGTAGTGGTTCATAAAGACTTCAGAGAAAGGAGTTATAACAACACTGAAGGGGCAACAATCTGGATACAAGTAAGCTATACAATAAGATGTTAAATTTGCAATGAATCGAAATTATATTAAAGATAATTTCAAAATAATGAAATACAGTTGCCAAAGATATAAGTACCATGGAACCTTTAAGTTAAACAGTGAAGTATACTTACACTTCAATTAAGGGCTTCAAAAATGGAACCGCCTTCTCAATTCCCTCAATATTTGCCAGAGACTGTACAAATGTTATTGGAATCATAAAGAAGAAGGTAAGAAAGAAGAAGGCAACTGCGACAATCAACCGTCTTATTGTAATGGAAACGAAGGGAATCGCTAGATTCTGCCAATATACATCACGAGGTTCTGGGGCCCACTCAGTCAACCACAAGGTGGGGTTTCTACTTTGCTGTGTTTGCGCACAAACTGCTGCCCCCCATCGTGTTCGAAAAGAAACAAAAGCAGCTGACATAATAAACTTAGGGTTTTTTATTATCTTTTCACGTTCTGCAGCTTCCTGAAAATGTAATTGACAAAAGAACAGGAAACTAAATTAAGTAAGAAACAAAAAGGAAGCTTTCCTAACTGTACATTTACAAAGTAGAATCTAACACTAAGGAACCCTTTTATAGTACAATCTACTGATCTAGCACTAGGGAACACTTTCTTAGGGTTTAGACCATTTTTAAGCTGTTAATTTTAGAAGTCAACAAACATCTAAATCATACTCCTTCCCCAATATCCATAACATGAATATACAAAGAACACCTAAAAGATTAATCAATTCCAAATCCTAAACTACACATGAAATAGTATCAGCATGATAAAGTGTTAATAGGATATAGAATCGTAAAAAAAACATTTGTGATGTCTAATCAATAAGATATATATATATATATATATATATATATATATAATTGATTTGATTCTTTGAGAATGGCATATGAAGACAGTTAATCACCATTATTAAAAGATAACATCAAGCTTTCTACCTTATTTTTGGGAAAGTTTCAACTTCAAATTCATAGAGTGACAATTTTTTCCAGGGAAATCAATTATCAACATATTAGAGATTTATTTAGAGTTTGGTAGACTATAATGATTTGTTTTGGTACGTTGGTTACACACAATTACATAAACTGGCAAGTCAGAAAAAACCAAGATAGCATAAATGTATTAAATTAGAATATATGAAGCATGAATATGCTTCTTGCTTCTACATTGTAATTGTGTCAAACACTGATTCTTGTCAGACACCGCCCAACATGTCAGATACTTAAAACCAATTCAATATCTGCATCATCTACATGTGATACATTTATATTTAGTATTGTTGTAGGACACATCATCCAAGGCCTCATGACATTATGTATGCAACTTAATTTTTGAATTACTCTCGCTGAGTATCTAATTGATATTTTTCATATGAAATTGGTGAATGGTTAATATGTAATTTTTATTAATGCTAATCATAAATTATACAAAATAAGTTCTCACAAATAAAACTATTACTAGAATATTTAAACTACATAATTACTAATTTCCATGTCTATGGCATGCCATGTCGTGTTTTTTCTAATAAATTGTAGTATCGACATGTCTGGTTGTATGTTGCTTGACAGATTATTGAATTAATCTAATGATTATTCTGGAGACAAGTGACCACAGGTAGTTACATAATTCTATATCTACTCTCTCTGTGCAGCAGGTGCAGTAGCAGCACAGCAGTGACAAACAGTACGGTGACAATGGTAGAGGTGAGTACCACATATTGTCTGATGCATTTTGTGGTATGTAGCGTCTGTCAACACACAGACAAGGGCCTCAACATGCATATCAAAAAACACTGGACCAGAGGCACCAACAAAGAGAAGTATATGGAGCTATGGAAAGGTGAGCAATCATGATAAAAAAAATGAACTAATACTAAATGCAAATTAATTCAAGACAATGTCCATTTAATTGTCAACAAATAAATATTGAACTTGAATAAAATTTCTGTATCATATCTCAACTTAAGTATGGAAATCAACCAGTTCCAGGGAAGTGAGATGCAAGCAACCAGATAATTCAAAACTATGCAAGTTTGTATTATTTCATTAACTAAAATGAGAAAAATAATTAGTGATAAATAAGCATACCATTTGTTAACCACAGATTCTGCATCATATAATTAATTTTAGACTTAAAATTCCAAATATCAGTACTTACTTCTTCAGAGAGTTTATCAACCTTAGATGTGTAAAAATCAATTGCGTCCACCTTGTCACCACACAGTCCCAGAAAACCAGTCTGTTAACAACAAAATACAAACTCATTAGTCATTACTCGACCAGAGGATAGATAAAATAAGAACAATTAAAAAGAACATATTATAGAAAAAGAATGTCATTATCTTTCTAGATAACCTTTCGAGTAGGTCTTTTTGATGGATTGCGATCAAATTTTAATTGGTAGTAGTCAAGCCAGTTCTCCATCTGTTTCTTCTCTTCAACCAGCTTAGCAAGAGTGTTAGCATTATACACAACCTAAACAGCATGTAAAAATCAGTTACAAATATTTCGAAAAAATATTTAATGATATAAGAGTTACATATAGTTCTCTAAGACAATAATATTGTAAAATGTATCCAAAGTAGTTTCTCTTTTGAAAATAATTTCATCCTAGCACTTCTTAGTGTTTACACTCTACAATACACTGACTGATTTTAATTTCTAATCAACATCATGAACCAAATATGAACATTCACTATTTTTAAGTGCCACATTCTTGTTGGAATGATATACTTTTAGGGGAATAACATAAATTCCCAATCAAGTGGCAAAAACTTACACAGGTTCACATGAATCATTAGTATATCATCATTCATATATGCAATCTCCCCTGACTTGCAAGACCCTTTATTTTCCTTTTTCAGAGACAAAGGACAGGCATTACAGCTATTCAACTCATTTCATTAAGCAAATGAAGGAGATTAAAGGAAAGATATGAAGAATAACAAAAGCCAAAAGAGATGAAGCTACATTAGGAAAAAGGAACATGCAGATCTCTGGAAAAGGAAAATAAGAGTTAGAATTAAACAAACCTTTATGTGCAACAAAAACTCTCAAAGTGAAATAACATTAAAAAAAGTTTAATCTTCCCTTCTAAAGAAAAAGATTATCTACTCCTTTCCAGTATCTTTTCCCCAGAAAAACATGCAAAATAGGTATGTGTCGCATGTCATGCCCATAAGTAAAACATGTATAGATACATGCCCAGCATATGCACAAGGTTAGCAGTAATATGCATGCAGCAATTAAAGACTTGTGGTTGAAGATAATAATCGATAATAAATGAATCACAACTGAAGTGTATACCTAACTGCTTCTAAATTGGATTTACAACTGCAACTCTAAGGACTGGTAATATGACACCATTCTGTTATATATATCTTAAAGCATCATAACGATGCATATTTTGCTATTATAAAAGTTGTATAAACAGCACCTAAATGGCACTAGAAAAATAATCAATGACATTATTTAAAGCTATATCCTTCATAATGATGATGCTATGCTAGTGCACATCCACAATTACTGAAGTAATCAATGACAAAATAAATACCTGATGAGTTAAATAGTTATCCCGATGATTAACAAGGAAAAAATGTTCAACGAGCTCGCTTACTGACTCATCAGGATCAGGTGGCACATTTCGGACGATGACCTGAAGAGAATGTATCATGAGCAAATTTCCAAACAAGATAATAAAACTAGGCACCCATAGAATTCAATACAATGAAAATCATCAGTTTATAGGGTACCAACAGAATCAATCTCATAAAAACATATAGTTTCATTTGATGTTAGTAACCACCATCCTATCAGATATTGATGCTTTCACATGACCATACATAGGCCAAGTTCATGTACAGATATGTATCCTCGTGCATCTAGATTGTAAACTGTCCTGTGTGCATAAACTGCAAAATTAAACAATAGCACAAACCCATATAGCATTCACTAGATTAAATTCATCACCATCCCAAATTAAGATATTAGTGTAGCAGGTCTGGCATTTATATGATGAACATGGAAATTAAATTAACTGATGTGTTCATTATCTCTAACTCCATGATGTGTTCTTATCTCTAGCTCCATACCAATTTAGCATTCACAACACTATGATACCAACGACCAATCACAACAAGTATGATGCATTCATTCAAGAGCTTATCATTAGTGTGCTAGAAAAATCTTGTGGCAAAAGCCTGCTGATTTTAATGAGACATTAGACTAGTTTTTAGAAAGTCCTTATTTGAGGTCAAAAAATTCAGATAATAAAGGTTCCCTTAAATCTCTCCTGAAAGCACAGGTTTGGAGTTACACCCAGGATTGATCAACTACAATGAAATCGACTCATTTGCATGATATGAATTAGATTATAAAATCACTTACAGTAATTCTGGGTTTTGGGTGATCATGCCTGCTCAAGAGTTTAGTTTCAGTTTCAGCAGAACCAACAGAAGCAATACCACCTCCTTTTGAAACTGATATTTTGCTATCATTCTGAGGTTTTATCCCAAGCAAATTCTTTTTAATTTTTTCTGTGGATAATACTTTAAAAGAATATAAACATACTAAGCAATTATAGAGGAAACCAAATAAGAGAGAATACATTATTGAGGATAGCTAAAAAATAAAAGCTAATTATGCTTAAATGCTTTTGGATCACACTAAGTTTTAAAGTTCTAGATATTATGATTTTTATAAAAGGTGTCATAAACAACTAAATACAAATCATCAATTATCCATCACTAAGTATTCTAATATCCGATGGACTAATACAGAGTGATGCATAATATAAGAAGTAACATCAGAGGTATCCAGTTGCATGCTTAGGTGCCAGAGTACCGTATCCATGATATAATATAATAAACTAGCAATCTACTTCTTGGTAAAAAAAAAAAATGGAGTTAATGTCATTAAAAAAGCAGTGACAAGAAAATTTGTAATAGAAGTATAAGCACTATAGATAAAGAATTTTAAAGTCCGGATTAACTATTTAATTTTGAAATGACAAAAATAATTCTCTTGCCAAGTACTACTTTTACTTCATTTGACATCGACAATACAGAACCATTCACGAAAGGAATGAGACAATCTACACAAACAGTGTAAATATCGTTGTGTCAAAACAAGCAAAGTGAAGAACTGAATCTTTCAGCAACCACAATTGAGAACTGCAAAACTAGAAATGAGAACTGCAAAACTAGAAATGATTAACACAAAAAGCACTATAGGGTTTTCCCATTTATTACAACTAAAATGTCAAAAGAGAAAAAATTATAATTTACTTTAAATTCAAAAGTGAATCTCAAAACTTGAGGGAATTGTTATAGGTGGTATGCTAACAATTTCAGAATATCTCAAATGAGCTTACGGTGAACTGATCAGGACGGCGTTTCACTGTTGCCAGAAAATGTAACCTCATTGATGCAATTGTTCCATACTCCTTACGCAACACATAACATGTCCAAAACGTGAATACATATGCCATAACCAAATGGGCCCAAAACCTGTGACAAATACAAGCACATTATAGGCAAGGATATAAGAACCCAGAGGGCGGAAAACAACAGAACTGACAGTTACCAATCATTGCCCAAATCTGTGGTACATGCTTCAAGAAATGAAAAGATATACACATGTTCAATGCTTTCCAAAAAACAAAATTGAGCCAATAGCATAAAGGATCAAACTGAGAGAAGCTAAACCTGTTAAACAACCATTTATAAACCTTTTTATCATAGTACTTCCTTCATATCATTGTGATTATTGATATATTAAATACAAATTTTATTTGCTTATATCCAGCATTAGATGTAGAGAATGACATACTTTTAAACAGCAGTCAGATGCAGAACAAGCACATGCCAGGAAATCGAATTAGCAACAAGTATGTTGATGAAATTCTAACTTCACCTCTGTGATCGTTCTGGAACATTTGATATGGATAGCTTGTCTATATCACTGTACTGTAAGTTGTTTGAATCATTTAGAGTGCCATTAGTCCAGTTCACAGGTACAAGAACCGAGAATGCCAGTATGGTGATGGGAATAAATATTTTAAGCCTGCAAGTCAAAAGGAAAAAACAACAGATGATTATTATAAGGTTTACACAGAACAACTACAGAAACTGAAAGTTTGAAACATAGAAAAGAAAACAGTGAATTTCCATTCCATCTGGTATGTGGCTGCATATGCAGCTTTCTTTTTCCTCCTAATACTATAAATGTGTCATGAGTATAAATATTTCTTTTGACAAATATTTGCACATTTCTCTTCATAGAGACATAGAGTAAGCTCTTAAATGAGTACAAACAGCATTTGATACATTCTTTGCCTGACACTGGCTCATTCTTATAACTTAATTAGTGATATGTTTCTCAGTAGTCCTGCCATCATAATATTTGAATATTTAAATGTGAGCCACAAATGTGTTCATACATTGCCACGCACAAGCATCCTCAACCAAGATATCATGCGGACATGCCAACATTTCAGAGCATTTTTATTCTTACCCTTCCTCGAAAAATGGACCTCTTAAGCCTAATGGTAACTAAAGAAAATGGACATAATTATGAAAGTTTGAAAAAAAAAATGGTAACTTCTCTCGATGAAATGAGTTGTATATACTTGGCCTTTTTTTTTAGAAAAAAGATGTAGAACTTCAACAATATGTATTCTAGATCATGGATTGAAATATTGTATTGTACCGGAGTTTCAACATTCGCTCGGTACGGTACGATACTGTATACCGATCGGTATACTGTTCGGTATACCACTCGGTATATATATATATATATATATAAGGCGACATCACGAAAAAAGGCAACGTCACCAAGGCGACACGACTTCGCCTTTTATAATATATATATATATATACATACATATATACATATATATATACATACATATATACATATATATATACATACATATATACATACATATATTCCGTTCGGTAACGGGCGGTCCGTGTACTGATTAGTTGACGGACCGATACGTACCACCCGGTATGGGCGGTATTATTCGAAACTACATGCCTTGTTCTAGATAACTTCTTTGAGGACTTGCATAACACGTGTCTCAAGTCATGCCATAACAATCATGTGCCTTAATTGAAGTGAGGCACATAATGACCTTATTGCATCTCACACCTAGGCCACCTTAAGTTGCAGTTAATTTTTTGTAATTTTTGCCTACAACTTCAAAATGAAAAGGCAAATCTATTAAGAGAACCATGCAAGAAACTATAGATTCCTGAACATGAGGGGCATACATGCCCTCTTCATTTAAGAATTTGCATATGCAAAAATATGTACATATGAAGGAAATGAGGATATTTTCCTAGATTGATTTTTGAAGCTTCAGTTTTTCTATCCACCTATTTAGATGATAAACTAAAGCAGATGATCAAGCTCAATTTGATAAATAATACTTCCATAATTCCATCTTCATAACATTTGATTGTTCTTTCCGTGTGTCACCTGGTCAAGTGTTGCATTATCTTATCATATGTGACTAAAAGTTCAAAGAAGTAAAATTCCCTCAATTAACGATGTGACATAAATGAAAAGCAACAAGCTAAATGATGAACAAATATATGAACACAATTCTGAAAATAAGTAGCATACCCAATCAAGTATATCCGCAAGAAAACAGCAGAATCAAGTCCAGCATGGTCTATTAGCTCTGGTTCAGGCATTTTGAGGGCAGCCGGCATCCATTCCAGAAATTTCAAGTATGACCTCAGATTTAAATTGACAAACTTTTGTACAAATGTCCCGGAACGGGTTGGACTGCTTCTTATACGTTTAAGATACCACTTTGAAAAGTAAACCCTGTCATTTATTGGTTGGAGCCTTAAAACAGCAAATGCCACGAGGAAAGCTAAGGCACTCAGAAAGTTAATGGCTGCTGAAAGTCCAATATCACTAATTGAAGCCATAGCTGCCTCCTACAAGACTGATTTCCCTGTAAATGTGCACCATTTAAACACACATCAAAGGAAGAAATTGCATGACCCAACGAAAAAGCATGAATGGGATTTGAAGAAAGCACTTAAATCACAGAAAAAAAAATCAAATGATCAGGTGGAATAAGCTAAGAACTATTCTGTTGTTTTTCTACATCTAAAGAAAGAACAACCTTTATTATATTTAATATAAAAGCTGAATTTCTAACAAAAGACAAACTAAGTTTGAAAGAGTTAGAACAGCCTGATTCTGCTTGTAACTGATATTATCAAGGAAACAATTTGTATTTTGGATTAGATAGAGAACCATATAATCAGCTGGAAGTGAGGAATATTTGCATCATGCAATCCACAAAGCATCTGGAGAAAAAGAAAGAGAACCTAAAATGCAGCGGATTACATATGCAAGAAATTTTGTAGCAGGAACAGAAAAAACATAAAAAAAGTAAGGAGAGCTAAATGTGAAAACTGGCTTGACCAATGCAACTAATGCTTAGTGTCGAATTCGTGCAAGACAAGTTCGTTGTGTAATCTCATCTTGCAAGAAAGCATACATCAATAAGTAGGAAGCGCTAGGAAGCGGGCGCAGGTGGCGCTCCCAAACACTTCACTAGACGCAGAAGGAAATCTACCATACCAAGCAAGATCACCAAGAAAACAAACATATGTAATCAAGAAACACTCTGCCTTTTCTCCTTCTTTCCTCAGTTCTGACAAGAGAAACAAAAAGGAAATCTTTCTTTCTCTCACATCCATCGCACCAAAGCACAAGAAAACAAGGCCGCCTACCGAGAGCCCAACGAGATACAAGGATTCCTCTTATCCCCTTCCAATACAACCCCGATCTCGCCTTCTCCGACCACAAATCATCCTCCGACGACCATGGATCGCGAGAACTCCATATCCTCAGAGCATCGAGAAGCAAGGAGAGAGCGAGAACAGCAGGAGGGGAGGGGAGTCGAAATCCTCTGCGAGTTTGGGAAAGCGAAGGTAGCAGCAGAGGGGGCCGAGGAGAGAGTGCGAGAGAGGAGTTGGTGGCAACGAGGATCAGCAACTGAAACGAGGGAGCGCTTTAACGACGCCGTCAAGGAGTGTGGGAACGCCACTTTCCACAGAATGAACCGTCAAGGAGCCGTTAGGATCATTAATTATTGAAATTATTAGTAGATTCAATTAACACAGTCAACAGTTACTTTTTCGTAATACTAATAATAATTGCAGATGGTGCCATCTGCTTTGTTTATTGGGTCCGCAATATCCGAGCCACAACCTTCCCACCCAACCTTCGACTTCGATGTCGGCACCGATGATGTGATCTCCAAACCAAGCGTTGTCGGTAAAGAGATAAATAAGGGGTTTCTTATATATATATATATATATATATATATATTAGCATTAAAAATCAGATAAAAATATGATTAGTATCTAAGGAGGATAAGAGATGTAAAGCATGATTTTTAAAAAATAAAATAAAATTTCATAGTTCTATAAATACAAGGTGAGGAGGAAAGAAAAATAATAATAAGTATTTGTAAGATTTTATCTAATAGATCTAAAGAGGTCCATACAAAAAATAACCTTTTATGTCCTTGTGTTTGATTATCTTTATATAGCAAAAGATCTAAATTTTTCGTAAATAAAAAATGTCGAACCACATAAATCTTGTGTCGATTTTCTAAAAGTTCATTTATGAATTATCCTAAATTTCATGGTCTACAAGATAATATATATTAATTTTAGAGGATAAATATAAAAATCTAGAACTAGAGAACACATATAAGAATTAGTAGCATTTGAGGATAATAATATATATTAATTTTTCATGCTAATTCATATACATAATTGTGCCAAACCAAAGATAAAGAAAAACATCACCAAGATGTTTTGATCATAGGCATTGATTGGTACTACAATTTTGGCAAAATGATAGCCATATCCATTAGTTGATCCCAATTATCCACACCATATATATAATTTTTTATGCTTGCTTGTTTTAGCAATGTAACATTTTCCACTTTGGTCCTTATCAACAAGGCTGTGCACTTTGTCCTAATTGTTATTGTTATTGTATGACAACTCTTGTCATATTATCATATGAACCCTTTTAATTAGTGGATGACACAAAAACAACTTTGAATAGAATTAAAAGAACATGACAAAAATTCAAGTGTAATAGATATCCTCTTATAGTTCACAAAAATTCAAAAAAAAAAAAAACTCATCCCCACAAAATTTGATCTTATCTTTGTATAATATTTTCAAAGTTCAGAAAATAAAATTTTAAAATCCTGATGAATGGATATGATACACTATCACCAAACTAATATTTTAGATATAATATAAAATATTTTACTACTTATAAAAAAAATCCTAAAAATGATGGATATATTTATCTGTTGAGATGGATATGTAAAGTTATAAAAATAAAAAAAAATTTAAAGATTTTATAATTTTATTATTGTGATATATTATTTGTCCATAAAAAAAAAACACATTAATCCACATCTTATCTTGTGTTTGCTGAACCTAAACGAACTACTAGTGAGAAGGAAAGCCTTTACTACCAGTTTGAACGTCCTAATCGTCGTTCTTAGCAGTATAGAAACGTTTACTAGTCATGGCAGGAGAAGCAGTCTCCATCTCAATAAAGGAGCTGAGAGAGAAAGAGAGAGAGAGAGAGCAGCGGCAGAAGAAGAAAACTGATAGACCTTTCAGTTCAGACTGTCGGCAGGGGCCGTGAAAAACGAGTGAAGGCCGCGTGTGCACGTCAACTTTCTCTCGCTGCTTCCGGTATCTCTCTCTCTCTCTCTCTCTCTCTCTCCGTCGATCTCTATCACCGTCGCTGCTACCAGAACTGTGCCTCCCTTTGTCCTGGGACTCGAACTCTGTGGCTGCGGTGCGCTGGTGGCCCGGGGGGTCGATGAACAGCGACTACACGACGCTTCCGCTGTTTCTCTTATTCTCTCCCTCTCTCCATCGCTGCTGTCGTTCCGTACGTCCGATGGAGTCCGGTGCGGCCGGCCGCGGTGGGCTGGTCGCCGTCGGGAGGTTGACGACGAGCGACGGGGAGCCGCCGTTAGGGAATCGGAGGTGCGGCGTTTATGGCTAGGGCGAGAGCGACGTGGTCCCCATCCATTCGTGGGTCCCACAATGGCGGTTCATTTACGACCGCTTATAATTGCTCTTTAAATCACTTGGATAATTCTGATATATTAATTTATCGTTGTTTTTCTCCCGTTAGTGTCCATAAAATGGACATAACAGAATAAATAAAAAAATAAATAAATAAATAAAAGAAAAACTCATATCCTTCTTATTAATAATACCTACGAAGGGCTTATTTAGTAAGTTTAGCTGATGACTTATCGAAAGGTCTAAGCTTGAATACTTAATCCTTCGTACGACAAAAATAAATAGTAATACCTACGACTTACATAATTACAACTTAATTAGTTTTAAAGGGACAGGAGATGACCACTATATTAACGGCATCTCAAATCAATTGGCCCACAACACGAGAACTAATAATATGAGTTTGCGTCGAGCATACGTTGCTATCCTTCATTTAATGCATTGCTGCATGGTGTTCTATTGGCAGCATCTGAATGCTAACAGCAAAGAAGGCAAGAGATGAAATTTTACTGGTAAAAAATAAGTTCAAATGTTGTTCTTATCTTTATACATGATGATGACACAATAATAATGGCTAAAACTAAAGCCAAGACTCATTGCAGGAGAAGCCAGAGTGGGAATTTGGTGTCCTTAACACAATAATATGTTAAATTCTCATACTTTGTCTTGAAAATATAAACAAATCATGATAGTCACAAGCAGAACTTACTGCTACGAGAAGCAAATTGTAAGCGCATCTATTTGGATGTCTCCCATGTATACAGTTAGTGCAGAAGAAAAGAGAACTTTCACATCCTTCTCTGTGATCTAGTTTGTAAGTAAATAGACAATATACAAAATGGACAACGAATCATGCAAGCATCACTACTGACTAGACTCAACTTGCTGATAGGGATGGGCATAATATCATCTGCAAAGCACCTCTTAGTCAACAACAAAGCATCTCAATTGGCAAATTGGACAGGAACAAAAACTTCAATTCCATGCAAGCTATATATATCACACACATTTCATGGAACCTAATTATTACTAATTTGATTTCTCCTACCATCCAGGCAATTCTCCTCGGTAAAAAACACAGAAAACAAGCAACATGCTTAATCAAAAAATAAAAAGAAGCATGAGAAAGTAGGAATATACGGACATCATTTCTTGAGCTAGATCAGATGCTGATTCCCAAAAGGATTGTTCTGTTGGTGAGGATCGCTTGCTGGGAAGGCTCCAAACCCATTGCCGCCAAAGGGATTCGATGCAGCCCCCATGGTGACATGCTGCTGATAGACAGGCTGAGCAAATGGGTTGGATTGCATGAACATGGACATCTGTTGCTGCTGCTGAGCCATGGCTGCCATTTGAACAGCTGGCGGAGCAGCAACTTGGTTTGACACAGTGAAGGGATCAGCTGCCATGAATGGATTTGGAGGAGGTGCTCCATAATACTGCTGCTGCTGTTGCTGTTGTCTGTATGCTGCTTCATCGTATAGGCTATCCAAAGTGAGCTTGTCAAACCCACCAGCCTGGAACCAATAATAAATGAATTGTCATGTGTGTATATATATATATATATAGTCTCTGGTGCTAGTGTTGTTCGATTATGTGTGAACATTAACCATTTAAAATTTGATATCACAAATATCTAGGTAGTATGCACAATTACATACATCATAATTCCAAGGATGAGTTTTTGCACAATCAAGATGTGTCCAATTGCACAACACCACAACTATTGCATGGATATATGATTTATACATCATAACAAACAGTGAGAAATCAGATATTTCAACAATATCATCTGATTTCAACATTATCATCATCGTAACAAAGCACATTATTAACCTATTACCATAGGTATTATTAGAATCTAATTTGCATGCAGTCCACAAACCAGATTTGCCTGTTTGAGTTGAGCCAACAACAAACAAGAACAATGGCATTTGCTAGCTGACTTGATTTTGGCAGTCAAGGTGTGAGCCAATTCCATCTGTATTTATCCAACTAGCTAGGGATCAGATCAAAAGCTAGTTTCCTGGAGTTTCAACAAGAGTCTGAATTCAATTCATTCCTTTGATTAAACAGGGCAAAAGTAGCTCAAACATGAAACTCTTACTTTGAAATTTCAATCTTTGTGCACACAGATCTATGGATATATATTCCTTTTTCTTCTTCTTTTCTTTAAGCTCATAGCCTTTCAATCTTTGTGCTGGCCCGTGGTGAGAGCATTGCACAGGGCTTTACAAGCAACAGCCTATTTAAGTCTGCGTTTGAATCAGTGATTTAAAAAGCGCTAGGCGCCAAAAGGCGCCAAGGTCCACAAACGCCCGAGGCGCTAGGCGCTCGCCCGAGCGAAGCGAGGCGCTAAATTATAAAAATATATAATATAATTATAAAAATATATAATATAATTATTTAAAATTATCTAAATTATAAAAATATATAATATAATTATAACAATAATTTCAAATAAATAAAAATTAACAACATTAAAATCAAAATAATATATTATTAATCTATTAACAGAAAATTAATCATTTCAAAATTTAAATAAACTTAATATTAAGAGTATACTGAGCCTGATGGAGAAACGAGGAAGCAGCAGCGGCGAGCGGCGGCAACAGCAGCAGCAAGCGACGGCAGCAGCGGCGGTGGGAAAGGGAAAGGGAGCGGAAGGCGCGAGCAGCGGGAGGCCTCGAGGGAGGTGCGAGCAGCGGGAAGGCTCGCGGGAGGGCTCGCAGGAGGCGAGAGGGCTCGCAGGAGGCGAGAGGGCTCGCGGGAGGCGCAAGCAGCGAGAGGGCTCGCGGGAGGCGCGAGCAGCGGGAGGGCTCGCGGGAGGCGCGAGCAACGAGAGGGCTCGCGGGAGGCGCGAGCAGCGGGAAGGCTCGCGGGAGGCGCGAGCAGCGACAACGGCGAGTAGCGGCAGCGGGA